CTGCTGAGCTTTTAAACCAACGATTTTACACCACACAGTAATTGTCGCAGCCCGAAATTGGGAGATAATTAGCAATTATTGTAATGGAGATGCCTTAGCTTTCAAATAACTCCGCTGCCTGCTGGTGCTGGCTGGAGATCTCTGTACTTCAGTCGGGGGGGACTATTAAAGGACTCGCGAGATCTGCTGCTCTCTTTCTTCTCTCTCGATCGATTTCGAGCTTCTCCTTAGTTTTTAGAGAGAGAGGGAGCTGTGAGCTGAGTTGGGCTGAGCTGAGAATAGGAAAATGGCGAGCGGCGGCGGATATGGGGATGTCAATCAGAAGATAGATTATGTGTTCAAAGTGGTGTTGATCGGGGACTCTGCGGTGGGGAAATCTCAGATTCTGGCGCGGTTTGCACGCAACGAGTTCAGCTTGGATTCAAAGGCCACAATCGGAGTCGAGTTTCAGACCAGGACGCTCGTTATTCAGCACAAGAGTGTTAAAGCTCAGATCTGGGATACTGCGGGCCAGGAGAGGTATTTTCTTTTTTCTTCCCTTCTCTTGCCCTCTTGTTGGGGTTTTAGGGTTTCGCTAGATCTTTATTAGGGCTGGATTCGGTGCCCTTTCTACTTTTTGGATTTCCTGTGTCTAATAGTTGGGAGTGGGATAAAAGGCAAATTATTCTGGCTTTTCCCTTGCTTTGCATGGAATCAGAACTTGTTTGGTGAAATGTTGTTTGTCTGTACTCTTAAGAGGATTTATGACATTAAAGATTAGCTTAAGAGAATGTGATTGAGCAGATTAGCTTAAAATTGGTTTTCTTGATGAAGTGTTGTTGATAAACATTGTCCTGTGGATCTTTTTTTGCATATTCTTATTTGGTCTTTTGGATTGGATCCCTGATGCAATCTGATCCTGAGAATGAATCTTTTAGCTGGCTATTCGAGTTTATGTTAAGATTTTATAAAAATAGCAGAGAATATGCAATAGAACAGCTATATGTTGTAACCCAAATGAGTAATTGAACAGATACAGAGCAGTTACAAGTGCGTATTACAGAGGAGCTCTCGGGGCAATGCTTGTGTACGATATTACAAAACGGCAGACCTTCGATCACATACCGCGTTGGCTCGAGGAGTTGCGGAGCCATGCGGACAAGAACATTGTGATCATCTTAATAGGAAACAAAAGTGATCTTGAAGACCAGCGTGCAGTTCCCACCGAGGACGCCAAGGAATTCGCCGAGAAAGAAGGATTGTTTTTCTTGGAGACATCGGCGTTGGAATCGACCAACGTGGAGAGCGCCTTCATGACTGTCCTAACTGAGATCTTCAACATCATGAACAAAAAGAACTTAACAGCTGGTGAAAACCAAGGCAATGGCAACTCTGCATCGCTCGCGAGTGGTAAGAAGATCGTTATCCCGGGCCCAGCGCAAGAAATCCCGGCCAAGAGCAAGATGTGCTGTACTTCAACATGAATTGTTTGGATGAACGCTGAAATGGTGCAATCTAGGTTGGTGCATTCCTTGATTATAGCAATTTTTTTTGACTGGTGTGATGTTTTTTCTGAGGTCATTTGTATATTTTATGTATATGCTTTAGTCTGCTAGCGGCTGAAGTTTATATACACTTGAATGGACGACGAATGAGGTTGTCTTTATTTATGGGAATGTGAGAAAACCTGAAGTTTAACACCGTGTGTACCATACGAGTTTATTACCTGTTATCTTCATCAAGCAGGTTCTTTATTTCTTCTAAGATTGGATGAGCCATGTCAAATCCATATAACACTAGGGAGGTATTTTTTTAGAGCTAAATTTGTTGAATTTGTTGGATTAAAGCTCCTTTAATACGTACATATCTAATTTCAGCCATGTTTATGAGCACATATATCTTGATTGGCGACCATTAAAAATTCGATAGCTTGTTTTTAATGGTTAGCTTGTTTTTGTGTAAGAACTCTATATTTTTTAATGTCTATCTCTTGTTATGGAGGCCCGACCAATCAATACCTATGTATTTTCTATATAATCTTCACGAGTTGCGCACAAATTGACTCGAATACTCACAGGTAAAAATGAGTTTTCATATTTAATTTTTTATTTGAAGTTGCTTGCTTATTTCATTTTGGATTCATGAATTTTCAAATACTTTTTAGCCTATGAACATAGCATATAAAAACATTTGTCTTTCTTAATGAATGTTTGACTAAGATGTATCCATTAAGGAAAAAAAAAAGTTATCAATCACATGATGAATTTGACTTCCTGTTAAATTATTAATTCAAATTTTATGTGAATAATGAAAATCTTTGTTTATACAAAACTTAGAACTTAAACTAAAACACTTGATACTATGTAATACAATTGAGTGAACAATTAACAATTGGTGAACTATTTTTAAGACAGCACTTGCTAAAGCATTTAGCGAAAAGTTTTGAATCACATGATGATTTGACTTTTTGTCTAATCTAAGATTTGACTTTTAGTTTAACAAAAAATGTAAATAAATAAGAACATAAACCTTTTTAAAAATTGTTTCTTTGAATATAAGTAATTAAAGAGGCTTAAGAAAAATATTACAAAAAATTAAGATCAGTGGAAAACGTTAAGAGGACAGGAAAATGATTTGAAGGGAAAACTTGAAAAGCGAGAAAAGATGAAAATTTTGAAGCAAAAAGAGTTGAAACAACAAAAAATGTCGAAAGATATATACAGAAAAAAGTTTAAAAACGAAAATCAAGTTAGAAAAAATCATTCCAAGGAGAGGTAAAAATTTTGAAGAGAAAAAAGAGTGAAATTTCTGAATAATTTTTTGTAACCTACTTAAGATTCCAAAATTTAAAGACTGAAAAAGTTAAAAGAAATAAATCAAAACTTCTGACAAAAAAATTGGACATAAATTTTAGAGAGTAAAATATTAGTAAGAAATTTTTTTAAAGAGAAAATAGTTTCCAGGTGAAAATTAAAGTTCTCTGAAAAAAATAATATAAAATTTTACAAATGTTTTTTGTATCAAGTATTTAAAAAAAAAAACGAAACCAAAATAGAAAGTCGGTTAGGGATAAAAAATTAAAGGAAAAAAAAGTTCGGGAGATAGAGAAATCTGAGAGTGAAGGAAAATATGCTGGAAGACAAAAAATATTTTAGAAATAGAGAATAATTTTGGAAGGAAAAGTTAGAAAACGAAAGAGAATTTTTCAAGCAAAAAAATTTAGAAATGATTTGGATAAGAAACAAGTTTGAAATCAAGAAATAAATTTAAAAAACAAAAATTCAAGGAGAGGATCAAAATTTGTACTAAAAAAACTTTTAAGTTTTAGGGGTAGGAAAAAGTGAAATGAATATCTGATTCCCAGACAATCAATTATTCTAAAATCACCTTAAATCTACCACTATAAAAATAAATTTTAATGTAATATAACTTTTCCAAACAACTTTAAATTTTCAAAATTATAAGTAAATTTAGAAAACAAAAAATTGAGAACGTAAGTCAATGACAAATTTTAATTTAAAAGAGAAAAAAAAAGGTCCGCGAAGTATAAATTTTGAAAAAGATCAGGAAAGGTAGACTAATTTTTTAGGAGGGAAAAAGTTTGGATAAATTTTGGAGAGAAAAGAAGTTGGAAAGAGAAATTTTTCATAAGTAAAAGAAAATAGTTTGAAAGTGAGAAATAAAAAATTTTCAAAAATATTTAACAGATAAATTTTGGAGATAAAATTTAAAAATGTGAACTTTTAAAAATATTTTTTTTTATCATTAAACAAGATTTAGAAAGATAGTAAAAGAGTCATAAAGTTAGAAATACAAATTTTCAAGAAAAAGAAGCTAAAGAGAAAAAAGTTTGAAATTGAGATATAAAATTAAAAAAACAGAAATTTTAAACACAACATTTGGAAATATATATATATATATAAAAGTAACATAGAAGAAAAATTTTGAGAAATAAAAACTTTAAAGAGATAAAAGGATGAAATTGACGTTTAAATATATATATTTTTTTAATTAAAGACGAGTAAATGGAGAAAATTGAACTATTTTTTAAAAATTAACTGCAAGTCATTTTAAAAACAAAACATTTAGACGCCCAAGAATTGCAGAGCAGTACAAGAGCAAATTTTTTAAATGTGAAAATAGCTAAAAAAAGATAGATAAAATCTTTAAGACAAAAAAGTTAAAATAATTTGGACAGATTTTTTAGGGAAAAAACTTAGAAAGAGAGAGAGAGAGAGAGAAAATAAGATAGAGGAACAAGAATTTTTTAGAGAATAAAATGTTTATGAGACAAAAATTTTGGAAAAACTAAAAAGTGACTGAAAAATGTTACAGAATAAAAAACGAAATTCATATGTATTTAGGTGCATAAAGTTTCATCAACCAAATTCATATGTAAAGCCTAATCAATTAGGAGTTAGAGAACTTACCAAAAGCTGGTCACTCCCCCCTTCCCCTGCATCTTTTCACACTAAAATCTGGACCGCAAACACTGAAAAAGATTAGAATCACTTCTTAAGTACAAAACCCCGTCAAGACCTCGGAATAATTTTATTATTTTTAGATATATTCTACGTTAGTCCATGCAATTGCATGATCCAAACAACGAACTAAACACAATGTAACATATACCTTCTTCTAGAGCTAGATCTGAACCGATCGAAAACGCCAGATTCGTGTACCACACTCTCCCGCCAAACAAGCCAATAATCCATATTAATCCTCACGGAACATTCAAATCCCTTCTCATGTGGCCGGTTTCTCTCTCGATCGCTTCGATTCGGGTCCGATTCTTGAAATTTCTAACGAAGAACCCAAAGTTGAGGACGATAGGAAGGGGGGAAAAGAGTGTAAATAGGAGGAATTAATCGAAGTCGCCGGAAAAAGAAAACCGAAGTGTAGAAAACTCACCTTGGCCACTTTGCCTCGATTGATTCCCTCACTTCGATTCAAGTAGTTGGCCATGGTCCGATCATGAAATCCCTTAAGTTAAGCTAGGACGATAGGAAAAGAAAGGAAGAGTAGATCGATCGGAGGAAATCAAAGTTGATCGGAAATAAAGGGGAGGAGAATGATCGGAGTGGTCGGAAATAAACGCTGTGTTTGGGGAGGGGGAAATATTCTTATAAGGAAGCTGTCTTGGGGAAGGGGAAATCAAAGTTGATCGGCGAAGGTGAAGAATCCGATCGGCGCGTCTTGAGATCGTAATCACACTGCTGCGCGCCCTTCCAACGGTAAAAAAAAGTTGTTACTGTGATCACCAAAAAAATCTGATCGTTTCGATATTGCATTAATGTCTCTGACATGCCTCTGGAAACCGCTTCACGTAGGTCAAGTTTTAATATGGTATACAATGTATATTCTTTTTCTGTGTTTATGCACAAATTCTCTCTTTTTGTTTTCTGCCTATTCTGACTTTTGTAGTGGGTGCTCCAAGTTAATTAACATAAAGTGGTACTTCTGAGGAAACTTTAGAAAAAAATATATGATTTAGGGTTTTTATCAAATTCACTTTCAAATAAGAGGTTTATTTATAAAATTTGAGTGTTCACAAAAACAAACGTTTTTTTTTTTTTTAATAACATTTGATTTGGAAAACATTTTTAAAAACAGAAAATAAATTGAGGATAAAATGATAAACATAATTACTTTTAAATTATACTTTGGTCTATGAATTTTTATTGTATTTTTGGTTCTTATTATACCATCAAATATCCTATATTTAGTCTCCAAAATGTTTATTAATACTCGTTGAATCTTAAATTACTTGTTTTTAAATTTGGTACCAAATTCAATAACATTTATATCATAATTAATATAAATAAAAGTAGAATCTAATATCTATGATATAAATTAGAAAGAGCAAATCAAGGACAAATAAATTAGTCAAATAACAATATCTTAGTGTCATGCCGAAGTCCACAAATGAAAATTTCTAAATAATTTGTGGAATTTCTACACGATAAATAATAGATATTTATCATTATGAAAAATATGCATCCATTAAATTTAAAACTATCCGGCACAATTTCTGAATTTGTTTCATGAAAAGAAAAAAAAACACACACAATTTAGCACGTTTTGAAACAAACAAATGAATACATGACCCAAAAATTAATTGATGATGGTATTTCAAAATCCAATTTAAACCTTTCAACAAAATCCAAACATTAATTCGCATATCATGACTAATGTTAATAATAACTAATTTTCCAGCATTTCTTTCGTAAAAAAGCATAACCAAAACAAAACTTACATTCCAAGTAATTAGATTATTTCCCAAAAAAGACATCTTCGATTATTTCAAAGTTGTATGGAAAGTTTTCATCCATTCGAGATCGTCCTCATAATATTATTACTTCATTCCATTTCATAATAGAACTGGGTGATGAAGGTGCAGCCTGAAGGCCAATACTCCTATACAGACTATATATTCTTTCAGAAAAATATAAAGAACCTGAAATTAAAAACAATAGCAAAAAAATTTATAGGATTTCCTCCATACGACATTCTCTTTTTTGCATTACAAATCCTACCTAAAAATATCACAGAAGTCTAAAAAAAATCAACAGAAATGCTGCAACTAGATATCGAATACACTAGAAACAATGGTAAGGCTTAATTTTTCTAGATTATACAGTTGAATTGAAGTTGCTAAAGTAACCCCACCTAATACTATCACCTCCTATCATTTTCATCCAGGATTTAGATTAGATTCAACATCAGAAAACTTCCCTTTCCTGCATTACAAATCATGTTCAAGCCGATTTGAAAGCCTTCCAAGTAGTTCCTGGCGATCAATCGCTGTAAGCATAACACTCAGACTTGCCCTCCCTTTCCAGCATCCAATGGCTATAGTCGACTCGTCAACTTTGATAACGTCCGAGGAGGGATTACTTCCTGAAAGAGAAAGATGTACTTAGCAAGGACCCAGATGTGTTAACAAAATGATAATCTACACAGCATGGAGGCTACAAACCTTTACCCAAAACTATAACACAGCAACCTAGCATTAGGTTTGATGCCTTCTCACCAAACGCAGCATCAACAAAATCAGCATATTTTATACTTTCATATATCAATAGATGCTTGAAATCCACCGGAGATATAGTTAGGATTTGCTTGGTGATGTATGGGAGAATCACAGGCAATCCTTCTGATGATATCCGGAATGAACAAGGTGCAGAGCTACCTTCTCTTGATGATTGCCTCTCCTATTTATTGCAATTACAAGAGATATGGCACTTCATCAAATTATTAAAAATAAAAGAACAAAAGAATAAATGGTTTTGGCACTGAAGGGCCGATCATAAGACGAGCACTTATAATCAGATGACCTCTAGCAACTAGTAAAACAAAAACAAAACATGTTAAGTTCAACAAGTTTATTTTGAAAATGGTTATGCTATTTGGTAAGCCTTAACGTAAGAAATTGATCAGCTGCTAGTGATCATTGTGAAGCAGCAATGATCTAAAAATTGAATAACAAATTAAATGGATGCCAGAGATACTTACAAACATCTTCAGACCAATGGATGTTATCTTAAGTTGCTGTCCGACTGAAAAATTCAGCTCGAGAACATCCTTAACTGACTTAGAAATGTAATAGATTCTCTTCACATGATTAGTGTCACTGTTTCGAGTCACAAGGTGGCCAATCAATGGGAAGGACTCATTAATACCATAGAATGTCTTTATGCTATCAATAACGGTTTCATCTTTGAATAATACAACAGGGTCAACACCCTTCCACTTGCCCTGAATCTGTAACTTTCTCTTCACAGTGCTCTTGTTGGGATCTGTTCCACCATCATCAGCCTCTTTAGACTCCTCTGCCTTATCCTTTATTGCAGTAATTTCCAAATTATTTTCACTCACTTCATTATCAATCAAATTGTCCTCCAAACCGGCTTCTGACAACTGCTTATCCATTCCATCTGCTGCACTGCTGTCCAAACCATCGTCATCTTTAACATCCTCAACCGGACGTTTGCTAGGTGACTTTTCATCTGCAGAATTGTAATCCCCTTGCTTATTCAAATCAATCTCAACTTCTGATGGGCTTTCGTCCATCCCATCTATTGCATTAATGTCCACACTATCCACATCTGTAATAGCCTGTGGAAGTTTGCAATGAGACCGGTCATTTGCAGACTTCGATTTTTGGTTAATAGGTTTCTCCGTAGCAGCTGAAAAAACCCCCAAGGAGGGATAAAAAAAAATATAAATTCATAGGGAAAGGCCTTAACCACACTTGGGGTAGTAATCATAAGTAACTAAGTATGAACGAAAAGTATATTACACAAAGCCAAATAATAACAAGAAGATATGCATGGAGCAATTATCAAGTACTTGAAAATATAAAGACCAGGACAAGGCATGATCAATAAACATTTCCGGAAAGGTTTAGGACAGGTGCGTCTAAGCTGGCCTTGACCAGATGTAGGACAATTCAACATACCAGGCAGTGGGGAAACTTTGTGTAATACTGCAATGAAGAAGGCTCCACTATTTTGATCATGAGGCACTATCCTCATGCAACGCTCAAGTGGAAATTCACAAACCTCCTCATCGAACTCGTGTAGAGGATCCACTGCTGCATCAGCTACATCAACAGAACTTCCGGTAGAACCATCCAAACGAGTTTCCCCCAATTCTGAGTTATGATTATCTTCAGCTTGGTTCTTACGGCTTCTGCCAGAAGGAAACATGCTGGGTATTACCACACTCTGGCGACATTCGTTAACTTGTTTGTAGGATGCTAACCAAACACCCTTATCACGCACCTATACAAGCAAAATAACAAATGGTAACAAAAGGTATTCTTTCAGTTTTTCAATGAAAACTTGGTTTCTTAATAATGAAGAGAAAAAAAAGTTTCTTATTAAAAAAAAAAAAGAAGAAATATAGACTAAAATATACAAGGGGGCGTGAATTTGGAAATTATTACTTGGCACAGAAAAACCAAAATATTAGTTTACAGCTGCAAAAACTCAAAGTATTCACTATCACGAGTTCAACAAGAAGCAAAATAACAATTCCATGCCTAAACGAGAGAGAATTTGCTAAATCAACATCTTTGCGTACCTACCAGCACTACTAGAAACCTTTTTTTTATATATATAAGAGACAGATCGAAACTTTTCAGTCAAGGAAGAAGCTAGCCAACAAAACAACCTAAAGGATAAAACGAGAAGACATCCCTATTCCCAACAAGGGGTCAAACAAAACGTCCCTGCTAGTAGAATTCGAAAGGACACTTTGAAGCATAATTCAGCCTTCTCTGGAAATTGACAAGAAATTAATTTCCATTTGTAATCCTTGTTTAATTTAAATAAGGGTACAAGACACAAGCACTTCATCAGGATTCCTTTTTCCTCCCTTCACTTTTCCAAAAAAAAAGGCCGGCAAAAGGGAAGGGAGGAAGTACCACAAATCTTAATGCAAACTTCCAGCAGCACCCTCACTAAATTAAATCAATAGGCATTTTCATTTCATTTATCCAGCAAACCATTAAGACATTAGAAGGTGACCAGTCAGTTCTACACGATTTAATGCATCAAGAACCCCATTAATAGTTTAGTGCACTTCACGTTTTAATTTACAAGTTAATGTATGAAGAATGACAGATTAACTATCAAGTAATAATTCAAAATGTAAACTATAGAACAAGAAAAAGTACATGCATATGTTATGAACGATCTAAGTTTCAATCGAGAAAACAGATACCAAGACAATAAGGGCTCACCCTCCATTTCTTAAGACCAGACCGGCGAACAAGTTGTGGAAGTTCATTTGAGACATCAACAAGTTCAAGAGAGCCTTGAGATTTCCGTAAAAGCTGCAATAAGATGAATCAACTAAAAGAAAGGAGAAAATCTTAATTAACCTGATATGCATGCAGCAGATGCTTGGCCACAGAAGACAGGTAGAAAGAGTACAATTAACTTTTAGAAGAATAAGTTGCTTCATTGTTAAACAAAATTTAACCTAAAAAGTTGTTCAATAAATCACGTCAATCTAGAAAATTTTCTTATTTGTCTATGACCTACCACTGGTATACCTCCAGCGAGAAGTAATTTCCCTGTGCATCCCATGTCATAAATTCATGATGTTAATTTACAAATACCCAAGGACAAATCACATGTTATAATCAATATTTTTCCAACTCAGATATTAGATTGCATTACAAAAATCATGTAAAAGCTAACTGATCTGAGTAGTAAAGATATCTTAGAAAAGGATTTCTAGAATCCAAAAGAACAATGTTCCCAAGGATTTCAGTCTTCCCTCACATTACCTCCGCAACAACAGCCTCATTTTCCACAGGATTCATTGAGCAGGTTGAGTAAACCATTCTTCCACCAACTTTAAGCAAAGAGGCACCTGCAAGAATTGATCAAAAGATTTTGATTTTCTATGAGTTAGAAGCAAAACAATAAACATTAGTGGTGGCCTGGTGGAGAAGGGTGAGAAACACACAGCAGCTACAATCATACTCTAAGTGATGAAAGTGTGGGAAAAGTTGGTGCTATCAACGTATCAACACAATTTCATGACAAGCAATCATTTCAAGTTAAGTTAATCACTCATCAGATTTCCAACATCCAGATCATCAAGAAATTTCAATTCTCTAAATAGAACTGGACAAAGGAGAAATATCAGAAACAATTGCTTCCAGGGAAAACAAAAAATCAAGGTAGAATCTACATTACCATAAAAACTGATTGATGATAAGAGACTATATCAGAAGTTCAGTTTCAACAAATTTTACTCGTAGTACAATCACAGTTTCGAATAAACAACTCAGAATCATGTTGAACATGTGGTAACCAGAAGGGAATGCCAAAAAGATGATACAGCCAAAGACTAAAAATTAAACAACACCATGGACTTTGCAATTCAAAGTTGCAGTTGAGTACCTCGCATGCCTATCTGCACTTGTAAGCCATGTAAACCATTACCCATCCCAGCATTCCTGAAAGCAATACAGAGTTTTATCCACCATCCCAGAAAAATAACAGGAGAAGAAATTCTAAAGCCTACCACTTCCTCCATATATCTGGAGCCTTGCGAAGAGTACCATCTCCACTACAAGGAACATCACATAGAACACGATCAAAGCTAAGTTGACTATTTTGAGGTTTTAATTCATTCCCTGCTGCAGAAGCATTGAAGAAATTGATATTTGCTCGACATCCAGGAAAATGTTGTGCTTCGTGATTTGTAACAATGAGGTTGGCAGTGCACATTCTTTTAGTCTGGTGGATGAGAAGATTACATCTTTGGACATCTAAATCATTTGCCACTACCTAATCAAGATGGATAAGGATCAATTTTACATAAAGAATCGGCAGCACAAGAAAGTAGCATAAGTTGAAAGTTAAACAACCAAACAAATGAAAAAAGTTGCAAGCAGGCTTCTAAAGAAACCTCAATTTAGAAACTTGTGGAGGAGTATAAAAATGAAAGAGGGCACGAACCAATCCCTCAGGTAGACCTCCAGGTTTGCTGGACAGGTGTATGATCTCAAGTAATTGAAATGTTTTGGAGCCCGGAGCAGCACACACTGAGTAAAAGCAAAGAAACAGTTAGGGAAAATAGGCAAGAACAATATAAATTTGAGATCATAATACTACAATATATAAATAAAGAAAATGACCATTTAAATCAGCATAAATTGCTTACTGTCAAGTACATAGTGACTTGGATGTACATCCAGAAAAAGAGGAGGTACCTGAAGCCGCAATAAAGTTGTTCAGAATACATAAGATATTTAAATGAAGATTAAAAGTTGCAATAATATTCCCAATTAATATATCAAGTAATCGATAGATGTCTTAGAGGAGTGTAGATGTGTTGCATACCATGCTAACGGCCTCCTGCCTTGTAATGTTCCCAATTTCATTTTCTAGCTTCAAGAACTCATGGAACCTGTGAAGCTAAAGCAGTTAAAAACAAGTAGCAACCAGCAACACAGCAGCATGTGTATGTGTGGTTTATAAACTTTAAATTGATCAATAGCAATTATATGAAGTCAGCAGCCCATTGTAAATTCAACAAATTTTTCATATGAAGTTTCCTGCATATCCTGGGGCTCAATCAAGAGAGTTTCTCGAAGGTCAATTCTCACAGATGAATAATTGACCATATCAAAAATTTATTGTGAAATGCATTTCTATTTTGAAATTTTTTCATTTGGTCAAAAACAATTTTATGACCCCATACATAAAGTTGATGTTCTTCACCACATCCAATATATACAATTTTTTTTTTTTTTGAGAACCGGGAGTCGGAGCTTTGCTCCCCTGTATGCAAGGGCACCCGCACCCGCCCTAAGACCCAGACCCAAGAGACATCAAGAGTTTTTTCCACTAAGCTCACCAGAAGATTCGAACTTGAGACCTATAAACCAATATGACCAAGAGACCACAAGCCCTTGCCAATCGGGATGCCTCTTGGGGGTCACATCCAATATACAAAAATTAAAAATTACTTTAACAAATATACATGATACTGCTCAAGAAAAAATAAGAACCATGAAGAGTAGCCATTAATCAATAACTTATCCAGAATAATTTTTATACAAATACTGATTTTATGATAATATACAAATTTCTTATAATCATCTTTTCAAAAGAGTTCCTGGAAACACGAGCCATTTCACTTCCACTTCATGAAAACTACCTATTCTAGAGTTTGAGATTAAATATATAACCAATAAGGATATTCCTGGAAACACATGAGCCATATAATAAAGAAATTAAACCTCTTCGGCTTTCAAGCCATTAATAAGTAAAATCATACTCAAACAAAACACTTGATGCAACCGCCATATGCAGACCCAATGGTTAAAAGACAAAATGAAAATCCATGACTTTGATTATAGATTCATATCATGGCAGTCACTGTTTTATGATATAAGCAACCTAAAATATTTTCAACGTCCAACATCTTATGGACAATCAGTTATGCAATGAGATTAGTTCAATTGAAGCACACATGTATAGAGAAAAATCAGTTCTTTTCCATTCCATTAAAATTTTAAAAAATGATCACTATAAAAATACAATATTACCTCTCAAGAGCTTGATTCTTCCTCAGTTGCATTCTTGAGAAATTTGAATGCCACGCAAGATTCTCAGGGTACCAAGGCAATGGTCTAATAGCCTCAGCTTCGTCACCATCAGCGACCTGAACAGGAGAGAGAAGGAAAAGGGACAATAACGGATCATAAATAAATTATTCGTCACATTATTTCTTCTTCTTCTTCTTTTTTTTTTTTTTTTTTTTTTGAGGAAATCACATTATTATTGAAAAGCAAAAATATTACAGCGCCTACCTCAGCTTTAAGAGATTTCATGAAGTCATTTTGCAACTGGGCTCGTATTTCCCCACAGAACTGTCCACTGAAATTTAAATGTTAACAATAACGACAACACAAAATTACAAAGATGAAATGAAACGTTAACAGAACAAATAAGGTGGGTAAGAGAACCAATGGATTTCATGTTAAGCGGAAAAATAAATAAATAAATTATCAGCATATTATTTCTCGATATCTACCGTCGTTTATAACTTAAGCATTCACAGGCGGCGGAGTGTTTTATCTTATTTATTTATTTTTAATGAATGGAGGGGAATAATTAATAATGAAATGAGGAAACTCTAATGTCTTACCTAGAATTGATTCTAAAAGCGGCGGGCAATGGCTTACGAAGAACCTCGATAAAGGTGTCCCATTCTTCCGCGGTAACTATTCCTTGCTCCTACGATTTCCAAAACCTCAAATTGAAAGCTCAAACAAGCATACACGGTTACAAATCGTATCGGCATAAAAGCGACGGAAATTTCAGAGCAGATCAATAAGTAAAGTTCAACATCGAACTCGTAGACACTGCTTTCTTGACAAAGGGAAGTACAAATAGAACTAAAAAAAAGTGTAAGAAATTCAGACCTTGTAGTACTCGTTGAACGCGGGGCTTTGAGAATCGAAGGGTTCCCACGGATTGGTATTGCCATTGCCATCCTTGTTGTCATTTCCAGAGTTAGGATCGGGTCTTGGACGCTTCCAAACGTTCTCTCTGTTCTCTCGAAAATGCTTTCTCTGAGTACGAGCTCTGCCACCTCTGCCCTTACCTCCCATGTTCAACAAAGCTCGCTCTGTTGTGCTCTCTGAATGCAGCTGCAAGCAAGACTACACGTTCATGAACATCAAACCGGCGGGGAGAGCTGCGATTTGGGGTTTTGGTCCTGATTCCGATGTTTTCTGCCCACTTTGCCCGATGGTTAGTGGGTTTAGATTTCTAACCGTCCGCTGGTGGGCCTAACATGAGCGGACCTTACTAAAGCGTCGTTCAATGGGCCTATCGTTTGGGCCACTCCCTCTTCTGGATATGGTATGGGCTGACGCATGGGACACGGAAGGATATCTGTCCAACTTTGTGAGTTGTGACTATATACGTCATTTTATACCCAAAAATGGGGGAAATTTGAGGGAATACACTCAACCAACGATATTGTTTTTTAATCGACCTTTTCAAAATCTATATTTTCTAGATATTTACTTATATCATTTTCTCGGTGAAATTATATATTTACCCTTCCTCTCAAATCACTCATTTTTCTCGAAAAATTTGAGGGAATAGGCACTTTAAACCGACAATATTTTTTTAATCAACCTTTTCAAAATCTATGTTTTTTTAGACATTTGCTTATGTCATTCTCTTACGAAATTATATTTTACCCTTCTTCTCAAATCAGTCATTTTCCTTTCTCTTCCCCTTTTTCATCTTCTCTCCTCCCTCTTTTTTACGATTTTTTATCCTTATATAGTATTCAACTCTAAGGCATTACATCAATTTGTGTCACTAACTAAATCCATGCTCACAACATTATGGGGAATGAATTAATTAGATCAACTGTCATATTTGATAGGAGAGAAGAAATTTAGGAGTCCTCATTTTTTGTTTGTTTATTTGTTTAGTTCAACAAGAGGCAAGGGATATGAACCTAACAACATTAAAGAAACTAAGTAATACATCAGTCAATTGAGTTGTGTACATTTTAACAGTAGTTTTCATTCTTTACTGGCTTATAGAAGACAATACTTGGAGAATAATCCTCATTTTTTAGAATAAACAAGATCTTATTAACATTAAAATTTGTTAGAAACAATGTTAGAAATTGAGAAAAATCAGAGTCACAATTGTTTGTTTTAAACCTGTAAAATCATAGCATCGTGAGTAGGTGTGACAACTATAGGTTCTTTAATTATACAGTCAATCTAGGGAAGTTTCAATTGTCATATTCCAACTTGTTAGTCCTAAAAACAGACTAATTGGCAAGAAAAAAAAAAGAATATGAACAAGAACCATTTCAACACATTTGTAAAATTGTTAAAAAAGGGTTTGCAGAAATTAAAGCAAACATTATATAAACATTATAATCATAAAAGCTGGCACGACTGCTTGCCAATAACAGACCAAAAAGAAAAAAATCAATCGCAACTAAAATAAGTTCATCTGTGCATATTTCGAGTGGACACATTATTATTCCTAAGGTTGATAGTTAGCGTCAAATCTTAGATTTCAGAGTATAAAGCTGAGCAGCCATGGTTTAATGACAAATGAGTGGATTTTGCATCTTATTACACACTCTAATTGAATTTTCATATTACGAACGTTATGTTTCAACTAATATTATCCCTTTTTAAATATACAAGCCATGCATTAATGTTAGTACAATATTACTAATCATCTTTCTAAACGAAGTTTGAAATCTAATCAAGAAGTCAGATGATATCAATGGAACATCCAGATATTCAAAATTTAAAGAACACTATATTTCAGTCGGAGAAGTCTATAACAAATATAACTCAATTCACGGAATAAGTCTATTAACCTTTAGAATAATAAAATGTCACAAAGTCGAACAAGCAAACCCAAAATTGAAGTAAATGATCAAATCGATCTCCTATGATAGCCCACAAACAAAATTTCCTTGATCCATGGACGCTAAATGCTCAACTAACTCGGGACAAAATTCCGGAGAACTAGATCTAAGCAGCGGTAGAAGGCTTGGAGGCACCAGAGAGTTTGGATCTTCTCTTTGCTAAGCTCTCACTGCGGCGTTCCCGTTGTTCCTTCAAACGTGATGCAAGAAGCTTCTGATACTCGGCTGCTTCAGACTTGGCCTTGGCAATTCTCTTCTTCTTTTCAGCGATCCTTCCTCGCTTCCTTTGTAGAGTCAAGGGGGTGACTAGCCTCTGGATTTTGGGGGCTTTACTGCATTTTTTACCTGCCAGTCAGAAGAAAACCAATCAAAATTTTATGAACAACAAAAAAAAGGAATTCACACTATAAGACAATGATATGGTTTCTACATATCCTCTAGATAATTATGGATCTGAATATTAGTAAGCAAACCCACCAGATTTAGTTGTGAAGGTCCTGCGGTAAGTGTTAACATACTTCCGAACATCGTCATCCTTGGAGAGGTTGAAGAGCTTCCGGATCTTGGATGCCCTTTTTGGACCTCGCATCCTTGGCTTCTCAATATCTGTCAAGCCAGGTAGATCATTCTCACCCTTCTTGACAATCACCAAATTCAAAACAGAGAGGTCTGGACTGACAATGCAACCCCGGACAGACTTCCTTCTTCTCTCTCCATTCCTCCTACCATGCCCACGGAAACAAGGAGTACCTGTTCCGAGGACTCAAACTTTTATTTCATTTTCCATATACAAACCAAACTCAGTTCTCTCTATGACATGAACCAGTAAGATGAGAATTCTACCTCTGTGGAGCAAAAGACGAACACGACCAGGGGTCAAAACACCTTGCTTCATTGGAAAACCTTGCTTGTCGCAACCCCCCATTATTTTGAAAACATAACCATTGAACTCCTGCCAAAGGATCCTCCAAGTTGAGAACATGACAGAATGAAAGGCAAAATACCTGGTCATAATTTAAATAAAAAGGGGAGAAACAGAAAACTCACCTCACCAAGTGCATCTCCACTAACTTCTTGGGAGATCCTCTTGTCCCAAAATGCTCGGCTGCATTAAAAATTACCAGAATGAGACTCTACAAATTTTTTTGAACTACAATGGATATTTCGGCATAGAGAATTCTATCTTAGAGATCATCTTGTCCTAATATGACTAGTCTAGCCATCCACCTATGCAAATACTACGTTAGAGACTTGAAACTAATAGAGCCACAAGGCTTGGAAGCCATAAGCAATACAGTGAGCCAGATATCACAATTGAGCTTTGTTTGGGTTTATAAGTTCTTCCATATATTCTGTAAGCAGAAAAATTACATCCTATAACAACATTTTGGGAAATTGGACAAACTCCTACTTACAAAAACGGGAAGAACATTAGCATGCTTGACAATTTAGGATAATGTGAAGACAAAATGGTCAGCAATAGAAAAAAGCTCCAGTTTACAGGCTAACTCAGCATATAACAAGAAATTCCCCAAACGATATCAAGCATGAGTGCATAACAATAGAAAAATTACAGACTACTGTAGACAAAATAAATCAAATTAAGACAGCTTGCCTCCTTATCCTTCAAGGTACATAATAGACTCGCCTTACATCAATTTGAAAACTTGGTAAAGTTTGTAAACTCACAAATCACAGAACACGTGTTAAGAAAGATTCATCAATGAACACAAAATGATTGGTTTGGAAATCTCTGGATCTATCAAGGGCTGAAAACTTGCGCTTAAAGTCATAAGGAAAAATTAGAACATAAATGATAAAGCTAGTGTCCTGAACAATAAATAGATATTTGGACAACTTCTAATGAAAAGGCTAGTTTTTGTAGGTTCTTTGGGCGGGGGTTCCAGCTACCCCGGCCCTCAGGCTGTTGCTCCCTTTTTGTGTTTCCATGTATGTCTGTTTCATATAAAAAAAAATACATGTTTGGACCACTTCTTTCAGTTGATAGTCGCTAGCAGGAGAAATTTTCATTTTTATGTGACAAACTAAAACTTCAGTGCGATAACATATAACAATTCACGCCCGAGTACTGTAGAGAGTTAAATTCTAATGCTCAAAACTATTAGGAAATTCTTTCAGCTATAAGCATCCGAAATTCCAAATGCACCCAACAAAAGTAATCTCCAAGCCCTCGTTAACGTAGTCTATCAAATTCACACTTCCAGCAACAGAATGGAATTAAGAATGAGAAGATAACAGTACAGTAGATAGAGAAAATTTCGTACAGTTTGGCATCGTCATCGATTTCGAGCTTTTTCTGGCACCCAGTAGTGGGATTTGCAATGTTGAACTGAAAACAAAGAAGGGGAAAACATGAGTCTATACTAATACCGTAAAATTCAGCGCTTCAATGGCATGTAATATCAGAATATAGATCCAAACAAACCTTCATCTTCGCTACAACCGAAGAATGCCAGTCCTGCTCCGGCTCTCTTGCAGCAAATTAGGGTTTTTGAGCCAAAGGTAGGGTATTAAATATAAGTTGATGGGGAATGTTGTTTCATTTAAACCGGAGACATTTCTGTCAATTGCTTTACATCACCCATTGGGTGTATGGGCCTTGGGCCATGACAGGATAGGCACAGATTCCAAAACTGGGCCGAACCCATTTGTGTGAAAATTACGGACCCCATAAGTTAAAATCTGATTAAACACATAAAATTTGTGATAAGCCTCTTAAAAATAGTACGAGAATACTGTACTACTTCTTTTTCGTTGAAAATAACTGTAATGACATTCTACTTTATAAAAATGTATGTTTACGACAAATTAGTAAAAGAAAAAAAAAAAAAACCATTCTAATCATTTAAGCAAGACCATTACTACTTGTCGAAGAGTGTTTGAATTATGAAGATTTATATTTCACTTAGATGGACTTAAATCAACAAACAAAAAATAATTAATTGTTGAAAATTATAATTTCAGCCCATATTTAAATAGTAGCTTTTAAGGCATTTTAATTTTCTTGGAGATTGGACGTACAATCTCTCCTCCCTACATTTATTATTAATAAAGTTACCGATTTAAATTTTAAATTCTAATTTAGTTTTTATGCTTTCAATTTTGTTTCATTTTGGTCTATATAATATTAAGATGTCCATTTCTATCGTTACACTTTAAACTTTTATTCATTTTAGCATGTAGTTGTTTGGTTCATGTACTTCTAAAAACATACAATTTTTGTCATTATTTATAAAGTTTTAACACAAGATTCTATTTACAATGAAAATTTTTTGATACAAATTTATAGTTTTATTTCAATAAATTATTAATTATAATGTCATGTTGAAATTCAGTAAATTATTAATTATAATGTAGTGTTGAAATTATGATCGAAAATTATTAGATAAGAAAAATGAAATGATCAAAACAATCAACTCCGGATACAAACATTTGTAAATAACGTTATTCTAAAATTGATGATAAAAAAATATACGCATGCTAAAATAATATTTAAATAATAATTAAAATAAGAGTGTGTCCAGAAAAAGAAAATAATAATAATAGAGTGAATTAATTCAAGGACGGTGTTGATTGGCTATAATCCATGTCCACTGGAAGAAGTGTCAAATCGAATTCCTAACCCTTTCCGTTTTAATGGTCCATCAAAGTTCGGCTTCCCATGAAATGGGGGATGGATTACTGTACCGCTACCTCGCCAACGTTCAAATTTGGGTGTGACATTTGAGATCAGTTTTACAATAATTTTAGTTCTTGTTATATTGTTTTATAATCTTTTATATTCGCAATTTAAGCTTTAAAATATTTTTATAATTCGCATATACTTTCAATCAGGTTATGAGTTTGATCTCCACACCGACATGTTATATTAAAAAAATGTTTTTATAATTATCACTTATCTATCAACTATATCTTAGTTGATCAAGATATTTGATTTCTCTTTCTTTCATTTTCAAGATTTGACGTACTAAAAAAAATCGTTAAATGGTATCAAAATATGTGGTTACTAGAAAATAATTTTGAGTGTTATAAAAATTTCAACTTTCACCTTCAACTCGGTAAAACGGTCCAATTTTTAACTTAAATTTTCAATTTTATCAAATTGCATCTTAAATTCAAACTACTGTTGCAATATTTATCTAAAAATTGAATATGCATGGTAATTTTTACTTATAATTATTTTCTGTTTGATTACACTAAATACTATATTATCGTGTGTTCAATAAATTATAAAATTTATGTTTAATATCAACTTGGTGGAATTTCACAATTTAAAATAAAAAGAATATTGTAGTTGGATTTTTTTTAATAGAGTTATTCAATAATTGATTTTGTTGATAAACTTACTTTTCTGAAAATTTTGACTATGTTATTGAAATTTGAATTTTTAAATATTTTTATATTACTTTTTTTAAATTAAAACGATTAGGAGATTAGCATAAATTGAACTAGGTAAAAATTACAAGGCTTCTCTAAGTTCAAATCTGATTCAATATAAAATTGAAAGTATAATGTTTAAGGTGGGTTTTGATTCATTTTAGCGAGTTTAATAGTAA